AAAGAGCCAGAGAAGAGACTAAGAAGGAGACAAAGCAAAATACCTGCAGATCTAAAAATAGAAGACTTCTAATTGAATCTTTTTTTGAACACACTGTAGCACTAAGCAATCTCAAAAGCAAAGTATGTGTGAAGACAGTACTTAACTGGGAGGCAGGAGAGGAAAACAATAGAAGTCCTCAATAAAGGTACTGTAACTCTGTAAAGCTTTTATAGTTAGCAGTGGCTTCTGAAAACTAATACCATGAAGATGCTAGCAGTGGAATAAGACTTTTCTAAGAAATTGGACATTGTAGCTAACAGTCCATAATTATTCAAATTTCATAATAATACTGGAAGTCTTATTGTAACTTCACTGATTTGTTTGTCCTACCTTTTGTTTGTTGGGTTTTTTTGTTGGTGGTGGTTTTTTGGGTTTTCTTGTTTTTTCTGGCCAGCTCTTCAAAAATAATTTCCAAATACCACATCCTCAGGACAGGAGCAATACCACTTTTTCCAAACTGTGAACCCTGTGACCACACATAACTGCAGCATCTTATCCTAACAGATAAAACACTACTGGGTGGAAGAAAGTAATCTGTCTTGTAAATAGTCTGATTCAAACTAAAACCCCTTTATTTGGTGAGGTGGTATGTTTTTCATTATCTGCTGCCCCACGGGAGATATTTACCAGAACAAGACCAAGACTTTTTTCTAATCAAATCAGTGGTGCCTATAAGTTTAAGATGTGACTTCTTTTCCAACTTGTTTGTATTTGTAAACAATTTTGAATTAGGAAATCCAGAATATGTATCTTTTCCAAAAATCTAATCAGTCTGTTTCAAGGTGTCATTAAATTGATAAGTTATATTCAGAGAGAATAATTCAAAGTTCTATGGCTTCTGCTGTCTAGAAGCCAAAATCCAAAAGATTGACTACCTGCTATCCTATAAATTTGTCTTCCTCTAAGAGTTAATTTGTCCATCTGTCCCTATTTGACATAGGGGTTTTTGTTTTGGTTTTTTTTCTTTCACGACTGTCAGTAAAATCTTCCCTACCCCAAAACACTGTAGAACTAACCTCTGTTGTTTCTTGTGCTATTGAGTTTGACATAAATGAAAACTAGTTTGTATAATGCTTGCTGATTAACAACAGAAGGAATTCTATTAAAATGAAACAGAAGTTGTATTCCCAAAGTGCGTCTTCATGTGTCCTCATAAAAAGCTCATTCTGTTTTTAAGTGATAAAGAAATAGACACACATTTCTAATTCGGGCAATGGTGAATACAGTTCTCACTGTTCAACACAACTCCTTTCCCTGTTCACCACTTGGTGTATTAGCCGGTCCAGTATAAATTACACAGAAATTCTTCCATCAGCTGATTTGTTCTCCACTATGTCGCTCTTACTCATACATCTTTGTATGACTCTTGGAAAAAAAATTTCTATTTTCTCATATCTAGTTCCTTTTACATTAGTAGTAACTGAATGTTCATAAAGACAAAGTGTTTTTTATAGCTGTTGGAGCCTGTTTCAGGAGGGATACTCCGAGTATGCTTTCTTCTGAAAATTCAGCAATTGTCTTGCTATTACTTTCCCACAAGGAGTCATTTTAGACTGTGAGTGTATGTAACTTGGCAATAGCCAGCTTCATCATTCTCCTCATTTCCTGTACAAATCTTCAACAGTATTCTGTACCTGTCCTAGTTGCTTTGAAATAAGCTGTGAATTGTATATGTAGCAACACAGTAAACGCTTTTTTTTAAAAAAAAGATTTAAAAAAAAAAAAAATCGGAATCTCATAACCAAAGGTGAGGTGAGAAAGCCACAACAAACAGAATGAAGAGAAAAAGGCTCCTATTTACTGAACTTTAGAAAGAGTTTAGACTGCATAGCTTCTATACTACCTTTAAAGTAGGCGGTTAAAGCAATAGTACAGATAAAAGTTTCCCATGCTGAAACTAGGAACACCAATGAATTTTGGGGGAAAAAATCTGTAATGAGGGGAACTGGGGTGTCTTTGCCCAAAGAAATGAAAAGCTCCACACAACAGAGGTTAGGGGGACTAAGAGGCTGTTGGAAAGACCAAAGCACAGGGTACATGCAGAGTGGAGCTGGAGAAAAAAATTCCTGGGATAGACATGACTAAATACAACTACACAACTTTAAACACGATTTTTGCGACTCAAACCAACAAAAGTAAGTAGGGATAGGGCTTGGGTAGTAGAACTCAATTGGAAAACACCTGTTAACTGATGAGGATAATAAAACCAATGACTTTTTTTTCGAGACTTCTGAGTGTGTGATTCTAGCTAAGAACTAGCAGTCACAGTTCAGAAGCTCAGGGCTCTATTCCTGTCTAATGCTACTTTTATGAAGGTCTTTAGTGTCTTCCAAAGAGCAAAGCAAACCCCACTGAAAGTAAGACGATGGCATTTCATTTACTAGATTTACTGAAGAGCTGACAAGGATGTTGCCCTCTGGTTCAGATCTAACAAGGTATTATGCTTGTGGTTTGCTATACTAAGGGCAGAGTATCCACACACTGAACCCCATATCCACAGCAGAAGATAATTGCTGTCTATCCAGTTATACTTCAGCGTGCAGCTTTTTTAATTTAACCCCTTTAACTGTGTCTAAAACAAGAGTCCTAACCTTTTTTCTGGCAAATCACAAATGGGAAACAGTATCTTTTTAAGGTCACATGAAAGTAGAAGTCTATAGCCTTCCCTTACACATTAAGAATAAATCACAGGTGTTGTGTTATGTTTTGGGTTTAATATTCACAAATATAAGGAATGTTATGCATAGTTTAGAGCAAAACTTCGGAGACCTTGCATGTAAGTTTTAGTGTCATTAGACAACCTGAGACCTTGCGTAAGTTCAAAATTGCATCACTAACTTCAGGTAAAACATTAAACTGAGTTTAGACAAACTGGTTCAAAACCTTTTACCGATATTCTTATTTTGGTTCAACTTGACCTGAACCAGTATTTTCATTTTGATGCAAAATACTCTCTGGTCACTGCATGTTCATTTTCAGTTTGTTTGTTTGCTTCAAGCCAATTTAGATGACTTCGCATTGGTTTAAATCAACTACCTATGGAAAAAATACCACACTGAAGATGCCTAGTCAGAGCTGGGACTTAAGCTGAATTTCTGCAGTAAACACCGTAAAGGGTGAGGAAAACGGCGTGGCATAAAAATTAAGCTACTCTTTCTAATAAACATTCTGAATTATATTCTTTAGGATCTGAAATTGATGAAGAAATGTTGCACAGATGGTTATAAAAAAGGGAGATAAAAGCACAGGTGGAAGGAAGTGAGAAAGAAAAGAA